CCCCCCCCCCCCCAAAGTATCAAAATCTTCCCTCACCTTTTGATGCTTCTGTTTCTGTTGGGTTTCATCCCTGGACTGCACAAGTCTCCAGTCCTCAATGAGTAGCTAGACTAGATAGGATTAGAGCGAGGGATTTCACCCCCCACATTCCTATGCATGCTTATCCCAAAAGGAGCTTTGTATTTACTCTTCTTCTACTTGCAACTATCTCCTCCCCCCAGAGGCGGCCCTAGGTAATTTTCAACGGTAAGCAAACAGTATCCCCAACCAATCACTGATATATATATTCTGTTTGTCGTGGGAGTTCTGTGTGCCATATTTGGTTCAATTCCATCATTGGTGAAGTTCAGAATGCTTTTTGATTGTAGGTGAACTATACATCCCAGTAACTTCAACTCGCATATGTCAAGGTCTATTTTCCCCCAAGAGCACCTCAAGAGCACCCCTGGGCAAAATCAACTATACTGCACATGCTTACTTTGCGTAATGGGTTGAGCCGCCCTTGCCTCCCCCCAGCTCCCCCCATTGAAGATGTAGCAATCAAATCTCCATAAGGGATGAGGTAACTTCCTCTTTAAATGTATTTTTATTGCACTGGCTTGTTGGCCATGTGGTCATTCTCCATTGCCTCTTTCTCTTCTTCCTTTGTCTTCCTTCCAATGAGGACGCATTTTGTCTTCCTCCTGGCAAAATGTGGCTGCATGGATACTTTTGATATTTTATCCTTTTACCTTCCATGGATCCCCCGGTGGCGCAGTGGGTTAAAGTGCTGAGCTGCTGAGCTTGTTAACCGAAAGGTCGCTGATTCGAATCTGGGGAGCGGCATGAGCTTCCGCTATCAGCCCCAGCTTCTGCCAACCTAGCAGTTCGAAAACATTCAAATGTGAGTAGATCAATAGGTACCGTCCGGCGGGAAGGTAATGGCGCTCCATGCAGTCATGCCAGCCACATGATCTTGGAGATGTCTATGGACAACGGCAACTCTTCGGATTAGAAATGGAGATGAGCACCACACCCCAGAGTCGGACACGACTGGACTTAATGTCAGGGGACAACCTTTACTTTTTTTTACCTTCCATAGAAGATAGCTTAGCAAGCTAATTAGCTTCAAGACCCCTTTCTATCTTGAATGGATTTCTTTTTAACTTCAATGAATATGCTTTGAACCTAAAGTTGGAACTTTGCAATACTGTTGAATGGAAGCTAATCTTAACTCACATCACGTACGTTTTTGCTGATAATGAACTGTGCTTCTGGCACTCTGCTATATTTTTGGTGGAATCGCCCCCAAGTGAGGGTTATTTTTGAGCCTACCAGCTCCAATTCCCAACAGTTTCCAACAGATTTTGATGGATCTCATGTACAGCCATGCACCAAACTTTCAACCCCTGGTCTGCTCTTTCAACCATAAGCTGCCATTTGTCTTCTCTCTCATTCAACAGGGCGCCATCTAGTGTTCAGTCTTGCACCTGCAGGCTGAAAAAAAGATGATGGCTTCTCAGGTTTTCCAGCTGTCCAAACCCATTTGTTTCAAAGTAAAGTCATTATTCTTTTTAAGTGGTACTTTATTTGTGTCGTCGAAGGCTTTCATGGCCAGAATCACTGGGTTCCTGTGAGTTTTCTGGGCTGTATGGCCATGTTCCAGAAGCATTCTCTCCTGAAGTTTCGCCCACATCTATGGCAGAGGTTGTGAAGTCTGTTAGAAACTAGGTAAGTGAGGTTTGTATATTTGTGAAATGTCCAAGGTAGGAGAAAGAACTCTTGTCTCTTTGAGGGAAGTGTAAATGTTGCAATTGGCCACCTTGATTAGCACTGAATGGTCTTTCAACAGAAAGGAGAAAACCATGAAAATAATAAAATCTAGCTACCAGTATTTTAAAAAAACTCTAAAATCAGAACAATAGACAAAGAGCAACACTAAAAAAACAGGGGAATTCCAGACAGGAAGCAATCAAGGCCAGCTAATACCTCCCAACAAAGGATTTCCTCAGGCAGGAAGCAGCCAAGCTTTGAAGCTGCAAGGCCATTCAATGTTAATCAGTGTGGCCATTTGCAACATTCACACCTGCCTCAAAAGACAATAGTTCTTTCTCCCACCCTGGACATCATTCCACAGATATATAAACCTCACTTGTCTAGTTTCCAGCATAACTCACAACCTCTGAAGATGCCTGCCATAGATGTGGGCGAAACTTCAAGGGGGTCATTTTCAATTTTCAATAATTTATTTATTTACAATATTTATATTCCGTCCTTCTCACCCCACAGGGGACTCAGGGCAGATTACAATCCACATATACATGGCAAACATTCAATGCCATAGATACACAACATATATAGACATACACACAGAGACTGTTTAACATTCCAGCTTCATGAGGGTATGCTTGAATTCCAGCCAACGGGGGAGCTGTCGCTTCACCGTCCGCTTGTGGCACCAATGAAGTACTTCCTCATTCTTTTGCACATTGCTGGAGATTTTTATGGCATCATAAAATAGTTAAATTAGCCTCCCCGCATAAAGCGGTACCTAAATTTCCTACTTGACAGATGCAACTGTCTTTCGGGCTGCATAGGTCGACAGCAAGCTAGACTATTAGTGGTCGGGAGCTTACTCCAACCCAGGATGTTGACAAGCTGGAATGTGTCCAGAGGAGTGCGACTAAAATGATCAAGGGTCTGGAGAACAAGCCCTATGAAGAGCGGCTTAAAGAGCTGGGCATGTTTAGCCTGAAGAAGAGAAGGCTGAGAGGAGACATGATAGCCATGTATAAATATGTGAGAGGAAGTCACAGGGAGGAGGGAGCAAGCTTGTTTTCTGCTTCCCTGGAGACTAGGACACGGAAAAATGGCTTCAAACTACAAGAAAGGAGATTCCATCTGAACATGAGGAAGAACTTCCTGACTGTGAGAGCTGTTCAGCAGTGGAACTCTCTGCCCCGGAGTGTGGTGGAGGCTCCTTCTTTGGAGGCTTTTAAACAGTGGCTGGATGGCCATCTGTCGGGGGTGCTTTGAATGCAATATTCCTGCTTCTTGGCAGGGAGTTGGACTGGATAGCCCATGAGGTCTCTTCCAACTCTATGATTCTATGAGTAGTGATTTTAATGCAGCTGACTCCTAACCAGCTGCACCACAAATGTCAAATAAGCAAAGGATCTATGTCCATCCTTTCAGCCTCTGCAAAATAGGCTGGAAATATGGTAAGGCTCATCTAACAGGTGGCTACCTTCAGCCCCATAAGTACCCTACCTAAGTATAAATTAGCACATCCAAGAGAAGTTTGGGTCCTGGACTGTTTTCCTTGATGCCTCTCCTTCCTTTTCTCTTTGCCATTCATTTGTTAGGTCGGGCGCTGTTACGGCTGAATGCAGAGAAGCTGCAGCGCATGGGGATCATCCATGAGTCTCAGCGGCAAGAGGTCCTCCAGCAGGTGCTGCAGCTCCAAGTGCGGGAGGAAGTCCGCAACTTACAGCTCCTCAGCCAGGGTAAGGGCCATACTTAAGGTTGAGGGCATGTCGCTCCTTTCTGATTTCAGCCTGATCCAAATCTAGTGGGTTACCTTATGGATAGAGTGAGAAGGTCTACCCTTGAAAACAAAAAAGTTGGAGAGAAAGACCTTCTTGTTTTTCCTACCAAAGTCAAGTCACCTGGGTCTTTTAACAGCATTAAACCAGGCAGAAATTCAACCGATCTAGCTTATCCTGATGGAAACGTACCAAGATTTTAGAGGGATTCGCAGGCAACCCATAAGCAGAACTTGGGAAAACCGTGAGATTTTTTTAGATTGCAACTCCCAGTATCCCTAAACTTAACCTTTATTCAGGAATGAGCAATTGTGGAAGAGGCAAGAGTCTATTTCCACCTTTGCCCAATCCACAACCCCAGATCACAACCATTCTTACTGATTTTATTTAAATAGTATTTATATTCTGCCCTTCTCACCCCGCAGAGGACTCAGGGTGGATTTCAATGCATATATAAGTGGCAAACATTCAATACCATTTAGACATAAAACATATACAGACAGACACAGAGGCAATTTAACATTCCTGCTTTTTCAGGCTTCATGAGGGTATGCTCAGTTCTGGCCACAGGGGGAGCTGCCACTTCACCATCCATTTGTGACACTGAGTCCTTTGATGGCATACTTCCTCATTCTTCTGCATGCTGCTGGAAGGTTTTATGGCATCGCAAATTAGTTAAATTAGCCTCCCTGCATAAAGTGCTACCCAAATTTCCTACTTGACAGATGCAACTGTCTTTTGGGCTGCATAGGTTAACAGCAAGCTAGACTATTAATGGTCGGGAGCTGACTCTGATCCAGACTGGCTTCAAATTCATGACCGCTCGATCAGTGGTGATTTGATTCAGCTGGCTACTAACTAGCTGCACCACAACCCGGTCCCGTTTGGCTGTTTCTTTCTTTATGGAGTGGGTTAGTTATAGAATGGAATGAGAATAGTTTTGAGCCATGAGGATTACGCAAAAAATGGAAAGTCTGGGACAATTGAGAGTCTTCGGGAGAGCTTTAAAAACTGTATGCAACCCATAGGCCCTAACTTGATTTGCCTACCCTTGCCTTATGTAACGCAATTTTTGTTCCTGGGTTATAAATGTCATTTCCTAATTGGTTCTGTCATTATTATTATTATTATTATTATTATTATTATTAACTTTATTTGTACCCCGCTAACATCTCCCGAAGGACTCGGTGTAGCTTACAAAGGCTAAGGCCCTCAATAAAACAACAGCATAACAAATACAACAATAAAACTCATAAAGCAAACCAATAAACATTAAAGCAATAACAGTAAAACATTAAAACAATACATCATGACACATTTAAAACTAAAACATGGAAAAAGTTTATTGAACTTGAAAGACTTTGTTTTTGCAGGATATCCTGCAGGACATTTTGGTATAGTTTTTCAATGAGTATCTCAGAGTCTCAACCAATTCAACATAGTTTGTGGCAACCACAAAAAGTACACAATAAAACAGGGAATAATACTTTCCAACCAGGAACAGAATTTTTTTTCAAATTTTGTTAAATAGTGTACTCACTCTGACCAACCTTACAGGGCCATTGCGGAGACCCCAAGATGGGCAGTGATTATTAGTGTTCTGTATCACATCTGACATTTATAATATAATATAATATAATATAATATTAAACTTTATTTGTACTCCTTCACCATCTCCCCCAATGGGGACTCTGGTCGGCTTACATGAGGCCAAGCCCAAACAACAAATTACAATAAAATAAAATACAAATTACAGTAAAATAACAACATCGCAGTAAAGTACAAAACATATAAATACAATAAACAATATACACAAAAACATTCAAAAAGCAGTAAACCAAGCATATGCAGTCTTCTAGGCTGTGCTGTGGCTCCCTTCAGCCCTAGATAACATAGCCATTGGTAAGGAATGCTGGGGGTTAAAGTCCAGCATTACTTGGGAGGCCACATAATTCTCCTCCCTGCTTTACGTACATAAGAACTAAAACTACTTTAGTTGGGCAAATCCAAAACTGAGTCTGATTTTTGTAAATTGAATGCAGCCTACCCAATCCAGTGATGTCTGGGGTTATGGGAGTTGTAGTGTTCTGGGGGTGGGGTCTTTCCTGAGCTCAGTCGCAGAATGCACCAATGTGGCATCACTGCCTGTACTTCAAAAATCTGCTCATTTCTGCTGCCCAGAGAAAGGTTTAAACATAAGTAGAAAATACAAGATTCCTGATAGTTGCAATGTAGAGAAATCCCATCCAGATTTTCTCCCAAATGTGCAGACCAACAGGGACTGGAAACATAATTTTGGTGGGTTGCTGTAAGTTTTCCAGGCTGTATGGCCATGTTCTAGAAGCATGGCCGTACAACCCGGAAAACTCACAGCAACCCAGTGATTCCATTGACTAATTGTGGTCTTTGTGGCTATTGAATTTCTGCCTGTTTTATGCTAATTTAGAGGGTGCAAGTATTCTTTTGACATGATGGGAGAAAAAAGAGGTAGCAATCTAGAAAGAGCGTAGAAAAGTGACTTTTTGGAACAGTATCTCCCAGGATAAAGATCTGAGTATTGTAATCCAAAATAGGCATAAGTATTTCCAAACTCTACCTCTAAAACCATTACAGGTTGAGTATCCCTTATCACAAATGCTCAGGAGCAGAATTGCTTTCGATTTGGGAATTTTTATTTATTTATCTATCTTATCTATTTTTGGATTTTAGAATATTTGCATGTACAGGTTTTTTGTATGTGTGTGTCAGGAGCGACTTGAGAAACTGCAAGTCGCTTCTGGTGTGGGAGAATTGGTTGTCTGCAAGGACACTGTCCAGGGGATGCTCAGATTTTTTATCATCCTTGTGGGACGCTTCTCTCATGTCCCCGCATGGGAAGCTGGAGCTGACAGATGGAGCTCATCTGCGCTCTCCCCGGATTCGAACCTCCAACCTGTCAGTCTTCAGTCCTGCCTGCACATGGGTTTAACCCATTGTGCCACAGTGAGCCCTTGGAATCCCCTGTGGTTCACCAAAACCCACAGATACTCAAGCGCCATTATGTATATAATGGTGTAGTAAAATGTTATCCTTTTTATAAGATGGCAAAATCAAAGTTTGCTTGGGGAAATTTTCATTATTGTTGTTTTTAACCTATGGATGGTTGAAAAGGACTTTACATAATGAGAAATCCTGGAGATAGAACCCAAGTCTAAATGCAAAATGCATTAATGTTTCATGTACACCTTATACACCTAGCCTGAAGGTCATTTTCTACACAGTATTTTTAATACTTTTGTGCAGGAAACAAAGTCTATGCATGTTGATTCATCCGAAAGCAAAGGGGGTCAGAGCCACCCATGTGGACCATTTTGGAGCATTTCAAATTTCCAGATAAGTGATACTCAGCCTGTATATAGATAGCAGGGCCGGGTGTAGAGGGAGATGTTGGGATTGTGTGTTTCAATTGCTGTTTTAAAAATAGGTCCTTAATTGGACATTGTGCTATGCACGAGTGGAGACCTGCAAAGACAAAACTGCCTGGAGCAGGTGGAATGGAGGAAAGATCATCCTCCGACTACATTCTTTCTCTCTTTAACTCTTTCCTCCCTCCCTCCATTCTTTTTCTTCCATCCCTTGGCTCGTCTTCCCCGTTCACCCGCCAAACCCGGCCCTTTCTCCCCCATTTCACTGTCTCTTCATAGCCTCCCTCTGTCTCTCACCCCACTTCAACCCTTCCCTATTGATCGCTTTCTTGTTCAACTCTCTTTCTTCCTCATTTTGTCCTCCTACTCCAATCTCTTTTCTTACCCAGCTCCAAATTATTGGGACTTTAGTGCAAACTTTACCGGTCCAATTTGGGTTGAATGCTTTGGATATGTCCTTTAAAGTTCACACTAAAACCTGGAGCAGATTTGCTGCTACCGTAACAGCATCAACGACAACCTTGGCTTTCCATCTTTCTAATGTTGCCAAACTGGAGATGGCTCCTATATTGTAAAAGGTTTCATAGAAGGGAATTTCAGCTCCTGCCAATATTTGATACAACCATTAAAAGTACTGTAAGCATTCGATATCTGCTGGGGTTTAGTTCCAGGATCCCCTGTGGATACCAACATTGTGGATGCTCAAATCCCATTATATACAATGGCATGGTAAAATGGCACTCTTACATAAAATGGTGAACAATTAAAAAAATTCTGGAGAGAGCTTGAGGACTGTGAAATGGTCAAAGTCTGCATCAACATAGTTCTCAACACGTAGCAAAACCAAGGTTTGCTTTTTGGATTTTATTTCTCCAACTAGCTTGGGGACCTGGCGGTGCCCAGGTTATTAGTTTGTTTTGCCAAGTTTGGTAATATCAGTTTGGAGTGGTATTTATTTATAAAAAGCCAGTCTTTCCTTTTGTTTTTATGAATGCTCCCATTAGAAAATGCATAAGGGTGTGGGTGAACTATAATTCCCTGAATCGTGGGTCAATCCTTCCCAAACCCTGCCATTATTCAAAGGTGCCCATGTTGGATCTGTGTGCCAAGTTTGGTCCAGATCAGATGTCAGATGGCTTTAGTGATATCGAAATAAGGGTGAACTACAACTCCCAGATTCTCAGGGCAGTCAACCCCAACCCCTACCAGTATGTACAGTCCTGTGTGCCAGGTTTGGTCCAGATCTGACATCAGCTGGCTTTAGTGATATCAAGATAAGGGTGAACTATAACTCCCAGAGTCCCAGGACAATCAACCCCAAACACTGCCAGTATGTACAGTTCTGTGTGCCAAGTTTGGTCCAGGTCTGACATCAGCTGGCTTTAATGATATCAAGATAAAGGCAAACTACAATTCCCAGATTCCCAGAACAATCAATCCCAAACACTGCCAGTATGTACAGATCACCATGTTGGTTCTTTGTGCCAAGTTTGGTCCAGATCCAATATCACTAAAGCTGGCTTTAGTGATATCAAGATAAGGGTGAACTACAGGGCAATCAACCCCAAACCTTGCCAGTACATACAGTTCACCATGTTGGTTCTGTGTGCCAAGTTTGGTCCAGATCCATTGTTAGCTGGGTTCAGTGGTCTCTAGATAAGGGTGAACTACAACTCCCTGATTCCCAGGGCAATTACCCCAAACCCCTTCAGTCTGTTCAATTCCTCTGTGTTTGCTGTGTACCATAGGAAATGGTTAAGGGAGAGGCAGTGGGCAGGGTCATGCAAATTCCACACAAGGAACCCTAGGATGCCTGCCTGTGGTGGAGGAAACATGTCAAATCTAGGATGCCATTCTCCCCAAATGAAAGCATTCCTTGGGTGGTGGGCCATAGTGTTTGGGGAGGACATTGGCAGGGATTGGGCTACATGTTCATGGCGCTTGCTCTAACCTGCAATGTCAGTGGAGGGAGTGCCTTTGGAGGCTTCTCAGCACTTGGAACTATAGCCTGTTTGTGGAGGCCGGAGGCTGTCTGTTTAAGTAGACACTACTGCCACATACAAATTTTTCACTTTTATTATGTGTATAGATATGCATATAGATATTTGCGAGCCATGGTCGGTTGAATCCATGGGTAGAAAACATGGTGATTGAATCCACAGAGGATCCGCTGTATAGAAGCCCTCTCCAGCTTTCTTACCAGCAAGTCTTCACTCTCCTTTTCTCCATCTTCCTTTTGCTCAGTTCAGTTTCTACTCTGTCCACCTTTTCCTCCTTCCTTCCTGATGTTTGTCTGGTTACCGAGCTCTCAACGCAAGATTGGGGCCTCCAAGATCTGTAAGAGGAAAACCCACTTGAAGGGAAATGCTTCAAGTTGCCATGGGACTCAGGATTCATCTACACTGTGGAATTAATGCAGATTGACACCGCTTTAGCTGCCATGGCTCAATGCAATGGAATCACAGGAGCTGAAGCTTTACAAGGTCTTTAGCCTTCTCTGCCAAAGAGTGTTGATGCCTCACCAAAGTACATCTCTCAAGGTGTTGAGCCATGAGTGATGTTAAGCTGCATCAATTCTACAGCGTAGATGCAACCTCAGAGAGACTTGCCTTGGCTCTCCCTATTCCCATAGCACCAGATGCCAGGCGTTTCTTTCCAGAAGAGCTGGAGAACAGCCAGAACTAGGATAAGTTCCATTTCTGGAGTCCAGCTCCCCAAATCCCCCCTTAAACACACCTGGCTGGGGGATTTTGGGAGTTATACTCCAGATACAGAAATTGCTGCTAACTAGGGAAGGCCTCCAATCTTGCCGATGGTCTGCTTTGTCTCGATCCCTCTAATGTTGCAATGTTTCCCCATGTCCTTCTATTTCTGTCAGTTTCAATACTTTTCCCTTTTCTGTTTTTCCCCGTACCCCCGCCTCCAACCTGCTTCTTTCCACTGCCAATCCCACCCCGAACCCTGTCCTTCCTCCCTTTCCAGCCTCTTTTGGAAACGACTCCTAACCCGTCGCCTGTCTGGCAGCAGACTGGTGCAACACTGTGAACTGCCTCTCCTCTGGGATTGCAGATGGATGGTGTGGAAAGGAATCTGGGTCTAGACCCTTCAGCCGCATGCTTGGGAGGAACACAAAAAACCCTAAAAGTATTCAGAAAGGAATTCTGGCCTGCCTCCAAGGGAGAGTGTTGTGAGCGGCATGTTTGGCGGTGCTCATTTTCTTCTCCTTCCTCTCCTTTCTTTGATTCCTCGTTGTCCCGTGTAGAGACCAGCTGTTCTCTGGTGGAGAGTTCATGCCACGCAAAGCAACCGCCACAAGGACTGGTAAAGCTCAACCTTGTGGGACCAGATCACAGGGCAAAACTGTTTCCTTAACATACAAAGACACGCCAAATAAAATCCCTCTGGACGGTGATCTGAAAGACTTGCAGTGACTTTCTCCGGCGAGGGACACAGAAGACAGTGGGACGGAGTCTGCCGGTGCTTCCGTCCTCTGAAAGTGTCTCCGAACTCATATGAGTGATCTAATTTATTTCCACAGGGCAGAATAGCCTAATGGCTAAAGAAACTGAGTTAGCCATCATGGAGTTGGTGTCTTCAAATCAGTGCAGCTGGTGTGGGTGAAACAGTGATAAATCTGCCCCAACTCTTGGTCTGAATAGAAATATCACAGGTGTCAAACTCTCTTTGCAAAATAGGTTCAGTACTTTGAATAAGTCCTTTAAAATGGCAAATCTGATCCTGGTTTCAGTCTGAACAGTCTTAAAGGAACTGTAAAGGAGCTTTCCAAGGTGAGGGACCTTATCTGCAACGAGCACCCTGGATAGCTCCTTTGAGGTTCGGACTAAAACTCAGAGTGGATTCATTCCCAAGTCAGCCACCAATGGTTCAAATTTCACCATAAACTCCCAAAGTGGTCTGTTAAGGTGAAAAAATGCTCAGCATCAGTCTCCATGTACAACAGAAAGATGATAATACAGCTTGGGGAAATTAACAGGATGGACTACAACTTCCTTTGACAGGTGAGATTTCAACAGTGTATCTTTGGTGGGAAGATAAAACTTGTCTGGGGGATTCTGGGAATGGTCTTCTGAAGAAACATTTTCTCCAATGACCTTTGGATAAAATAACACTGACTCACTTCACAGGGTTGTTGACATAATTGCAAGATGTGAAACATGTTAATTCTAATACTGAAAGCCCAAACCCACTTCTTGTGTGCCAAGGCAAAAATCGGGTCTGTTTTTCTCAATCTGAAACTTGACTGTCCTATGACCAAACTTAATTTCTACATATACATACATGTATAAAGACATTTATTGGGGTTGGAGCCTAATTCCAGAATGAATACAGATTAATCCCAGCATTCAAATAGCCCACCTTTTTAGGAACTTCTTTTTAGGAAGGAAAGGAACTTCTGAAGAGAAGCCATTTCTCTAGGATGAGAACTTGGGCTTGTTTGGATGGGATTGTTGCAAAGGGAAGGGTTTTGGTTTAGTGGCCAAGTATCTGCTTTGCACTGCAGAAAGTCACAGGTTGGTATCTGCTGGTACAAATGTATAGAAAGATGTTTTATGCAGGAATAGCTTGGTTCTCAACAGAACTTTATGGTCAACTTCTGGCACAGTCATCTTGGAGGGACCTAGATTCCCAAAGATAGCATATTAATCAAGTCAATGAATAATCAAATCCACAATAGTGAAACATGCAAATGTGGAGGGTCAACTACACACACACACATTTTATTAGGTGTGTGCGTGTGTGCGTGTCTGTGAAGTCACAGACCAGTCTTGGAAGCCATTATCATTTGGCCAGGCTGTAGATCACCAGCTCTATCTTGAGAGTTTTGGCGAGACAAATCAAGAAAGTTCCTTTGGAGGATGACAACTCCCACTCTCCTTCAGCTAACACAACCACTGGCCCAAAAGAGACTTCCCCAAGCTCAGGATCAATAGCCAGGAGGCGATGTGGCCTACATAAGCAGCCACCTGTGAAAGGTGTTCTCTCGCGCTAGCTGTTCAACTGATGCTCTGCTGAGCTGCTGCTTGCCTCAGGGTCCCCCGTGCCGACCATTCAGCTGTGAAAAAACAACGCTTTGGATTAGTTCACCGGCAATCCTTTGCAGGTTTATCCTCCTCGCTTCCCCATGTGACTGGTGAGGGCTAGGGATCTATACCAAATGTCCAAAGGAATTTTCATAACTCATCTCACCTATCTCTTTAAATGAATTTCCAAGGTGGGAATGAGAGAGTTGAAAGTGGGAGTCCCAGGAGGAAGTTCTCCTAGCCTTGGAGCTCCATTTATCTATGAAGTTCTTGAATTTTGTGGTGTAATCTTCCTGTTTGGGTAGATGGAACAACTCACAGAGATGAAGAGAATTACAGTCAGCCCCTACACATTATCTGAAGTTAGAGACACAGGACCCCAGTGAAAATGGAAAATAGCAAGTTAAGAAAGTGAAATTGTTTACCTGATAACTATAGGGATGTCTAGATCTTCCAGCATGACTCTATGGTGAACTTCTACTGAAAACTAATCATAGAATTATATTGGAAGACCATGATATGCCAAGAGAGGTGTTCTCTTTAGATATCTCCAGCACAAACTTTGGCCCTCCAGGGGCTTTGGACTTCAACTCCCACAATTCTCAACTGCCAGTAGGCTGTTAGAAATTGTGGAAGTTGAAGTCCAGCAACTACAACTCCCAAATGTCAAGGTCTATTTTCTCCAATCTCCACCAGTGTTCACATTTGAGCATTTGTACAAGTTTGGTCCAGATATATCATTGTTTGAGTCCACAG